TAAATGAATTTTAAATAATTTGCTCTGAACATAATAAAAATCCTTGAAAATTCATAACTGCAAGACTAATGATCTCATCCTACACCAAATTACAATTCTTATTCTGACAATCATTAATAAAGTAATAAAACAAGAATGGCAGAGAAATTCCATAGTACAAATCTAACAAATATTAATTGTCATCTTTGCTATAATCTGAAATAAAAAATTAATGTTGACTTCAAATGATGCAAAAATCAGGCTCTAGTCTAAAACTACTAAACTTCTCTCAAAAAAAGAAAAATCTTTCAGCTGATAAATGTGCAACTGCCAAATAAAAATATATAGTAAAATCAATTAGGTCCATAACACTCCAGAAGTTTTCAGACTTTTCAACTTCTCCAAATTCTGAAGTACCATTTGTGGTATAATAGTCTCTCTCTCCTGCTGTTATATTAACACAATCTTCAATTTTTATCTGGACACATGGTCACCCCTAAAAAAACCCTAGCTTTCCTAGCCTCCCTTGAAGTTAGTGCTCTAGCAATGTGAACAGAAGTGATATTCCACAACTTTTAGGTTGTTCCATTAAATAATTAGCAAGGCTATGACCTCTTTTTCTATCGTATAAATCAGAATGCAAATGTGACAATAAATTGCCTGAGGCTACACACATTTGATCCCTTAGTGGCAAGAAGCAGTGTTGCAATCCTGAAGGCATGCAGTTCAAATCCACCAGCTGCTCCATGGGAGAAGGATGGCAATCTCCTCCCCTGTGATTAACTGTCTCAGAAAACTTGCTGGCGGGTCAACTACGGATTGACTGTGACTGGACAGTACACACAAACAATACCACAAATGTCTGATGTCAGAATAACAAGACAGAAGGTTACTAGGTCTCTTTAAACTTTAAAGAGCAAATCCTCTAAAGCAACTCAGGCTCTTAAAATAAAAATATTTTTCTGTTTTGTAGAGACTACTATTATTATAAATTATTGGTATTTTCTGTATTGTTGCATTAATAATAATCATACCTAACTCACAGATTATTTTTAAGATTAAAAATTTTAAATAAAAAGAAGAAAATGCATTTGTGAGGAAATCAGACAATATTCTCTAACAAGGTCCTTCTCTAACTAAATAACTTCTTTTGTCACGCCAATTTTATATACTGGTTGTGAAGTTTTACAGTGACTCAAAAAGAACATAAAATCGTAAATAGTACACTGGTATTTGACATGTATCTGCTTAACTGTTACTTACATGTTGTGGTTGATGTTATACTGATTTGCATTTTCCAGTTCCTGATCACTGGATTCACATCTTTTCCAGCCATCTTCTGTTTTTATCCATCTCCATCCAGGAGATCTCCAGTCTTGACCCAAAAATGGCATAGCTCTCCTATAAATAAGTTAATTTATGTTAAACACTCTCGGCACCAGCAGCCAGGAAATAAAAAAACG